CTGCTGGCTCAGCTGGGACTCCCCAGATCCTGCGTTTTCCAGGCTGGTTACCACTCCAAGCCTCTGGGCAATTTGGTCCAGCAACATCTGTGGCCTTGCCAAATCATGGATGTTGCTGGACCAGAGAGTCCTGGATTTGGGAGGTTCAGCCTGCACATACATGGGCAGTGTTCTATTTTCACTTGCTTATAGGTACTTTATTTCTTAACCAACATGTTGTGACTTAGGAAATCACGCATTCCTCATTTGTGAGAGCCATATTAGAACCTAGATCAGGCCAGGGCTGATCATACCCTCCACGGGCTGGATCCAGCCCATCAAGCTGCCAGATCCAACCTGCAGATGTAGTGGGGAGTCTTGGGCAGGCTCCCCTGCTTGCCCCAGCTTTGCACACCACTCAGAAAAGCCGCGGCGGGGCTGTTTGTGTTCCACAAACTGTGAGCCCCGAGGGCAGTGGGGAGGAGGGGGGAGGAGTGGTGCTTCATGGCTGCTCCTGCTCCTGCTCCCAGCATAATCCCATTGGCTGGTTTCTGGCCAATGGAAGATGACTGTTAGAAAAATAGGCAATATGCTGAAGTACCACTCCCTCCTCCCCTCAGGCTCTTATTCACAGACCACATGGCCCTGCAGCCTGGATGGGGGTGGGGCAGGCTCCTGCCTGAGAAATGAGCGGGCTGCTGGCTGGGAGTCTCCCTGGTAAGTCTTCTGGCAGCCCCTCCTTCCCCCAACTCTCTGCTCCCCCACTCCTATTCCTACCCTGACCCCACATAAGCCAAACCCTTTGCCCCCCTCCTGAGCCCATGCCCCCTCCCAAACCCCTGCACGCCAATCCTGTGCCCCAGGTCACAACTGCCTCCTTCACCCAAACTCCCTCCGAGACCTCACAGGTCCTCCTGCACCCAAATCCCTTACCCCAGGGGTGGGCAAGACTGCCTCTGTGAGCCAGATCCAGCCCATCAAGCCAATTCATCCAGCCCACAGCCACCTTGATACTCCCACACCCCAGGCCAATCAAGACCAGGGGACGGGGGAGCTAATGGTTCTCTCTAGGCACTAGGGTGTGGGAGCAAAGACTTCATGCACTTCCCCCTCCCCCGGGCCAATCAGGGAGCGAGGGAACATGGGAAGCCTCCTGGCCCCGCTCCTTCTGGTGATTTTAACAGAAATCATAGGGCCTTAGGATGAATTTCTATGGTCTCAACCACAACTAACATGAGGTTGGGTAGTTAGTACACAGTGGGCTCAATTTTACACACCATTAGCTATGCAAATGCAGGTGCAATTACTTGCAGTTATGCATGTTCTAGCTGTGCAGCTTGTGGATGTGCATGTGCTGCCACAGCAGGAGCCTGATGAAAAACCTGTTGATGGTGAATCTTTTTTATTGAGGCTGGTGGACAACCATTCAGATGGCTGTGGCTCAGTCCCACATGTACATACTCATGAGGGTGATCGTTTTCTTATCTGTAAAATCAGACCTAATATGTTCTGAAATGGTGGGAATGTAGCTTATGGCAGGATGAATGTTTAAGTTGTCAGCTTCAGGCATTCTGGCCACTTATGTTACCAGCTTTGAAATTTAATTTGAGCACAGATTCTAAATATGCTACAAAGAAGAAAGCCTCCTTTTTGCATTATTGCTCTGTTTCGGAATAGCACTACTACCCACCATTCACAATTGTACTAAGTAATATTTACCAGGAAACACAGAAGTAGCACATAGGAACACAGTTCCATGCTGTTGCTTCATACAATGCTAGTATGTGGACTTCTGGAGCAGCAGAATGGTTTGTCTTCTCTTTATTACCAAAGATGAGCTGCTCTGCAGTCTGGCTAAACCTGCTGAAGTCTAGAGGAAGCTGATTCCACTCAACGCTGAATGTATGTGTTAATGGATTTTTACAGTCAGAATGAACATGATGACGACCATTTTTCTCATTCTATCAGTGATAGCATTTAGCCTCATACCTTGGGAACAAAAAGCAATCTTGCTGGCCAGTGACGGATGGTGTGCTTATTAAAAGATCATTCCGACGATGTATGATCACCCAGAACAAAATGACCCCTCCTTACTGTTCATTTTTTATCTTGCGTTGAAAAATATGTTGTGATGATTCGTAATTTACATCAGACTTCTGCTTTTTAAAAAGTGCATTTTGTGCTCTTGAAAAGTACCTGTTTACTGTCACAGCATGGCAAGCCCTTCATCTGTATATCAGGCATGGTATTTGTAGGGGCAGTGCCAAATCTTAGCCATACTGGCTCACTTCTCTTCTTCAACTCTGTCCTAGAAGGGCCATGCTAAGTGTGAGTGGATACTCTCCTCTCTTTGCTGAAACCGTATTTGGCTTTGCTGATGCCACACCCAACAAGACTTTAAATTTAATGTCAACTCTGCTACTGACGTTAGTTGGTGTGATGTGGATTCCTGTCCACATGGAAATGGACTGCATCTACCGAAGACCACGTCTCCACTTGCACACCGGAGATCGATCTTCTGGCATTCAATTTAGCAAGTCTATCTAAGATCTGCTAAATTGAGTGCTGAGAGTGGCTCTGGTCGGTACAGATATTCCTTGTAGTCATGAGGAGGAAGGGAAGCTGACAGGGCCTGTGTGAAAACGGTGCCAAGCTTGGCTTATGGGAAGCTGACTCCCGCTATGTATTTTCAGTATAAAAACGTAAGAGTGGCCATACTGCATCAGACGCATGGTCCATCTAGCCCAGTATCCTGTCTTCTGGCCAATGCCAGATACTGCCAAGGGAATGAACAGAACAGGACAATTATCGAGTGATTCAACTTTCTTTTAGACTAACTGTGCGCTGGCTAAGGTAATAGGTCTTTTATATCAGCCACATAATAACAAGAAGCACATAATAGCAATAAAAGTAACTCAATATGCATTCCGCCTTAGTGTGTCACATAACATACAAGATTTACCCAGTGGAAAGGCTTATGACCCCTGCTGTATCCGGTTAGTTTAAACAGTTTGTTCCATAAAGCCCTGCTTTGAAAATGAAAACTTTTGAGGCAGATTTGTGGTTTTAAGGCTTATAGTATCATGGACAGACGTAGTATTGAACCAGCACTTTCATTTTAGTGATATCTATTAGCAGAATATCATTTTGTTGATTCATTGTGCTATGTAGTATCACCCCACGTGCTCCCTCCCCACGATCTCTCTTTAGAATTTCCTTGAAGTGGATTTTCAGGATCTGATCCCAAGCTCATTGAAGTTGATGGAAGTCTTTCCACTACTTAAATGGTTTTTTAAACAAACCCTCATAGTATGATTGTGTGTCCATGTTTTGGCTTGCCATAAGCTATTATGTGATACTTGAAAAAACACTGTGCAGATTATAGCAAACAGAGGTTATGGGGAAAGCAATTAATCTAATATGATGTGATGTCTACCTCTCTTGGATTTGTATTGTCAAAATGTTTTAGATTTTATAACGTATCATAGGGTATGTCTAAACTACATGCCTCGTGGGATGAGGTTTACCGGGGAGGTCGACAAATGCCTCTGATGTCGACTGTAGAGCGTCCAGACTAGCGCACTGAGCTGACAAACAGCTGATCGGCACAGCACGGCAGCCATTTAAATTTAAATGAAGCGGCGATTATTTAAATCACTGCTTCATTTCCCTATGCCGGGTAGCCTAATCTACATGCCTCTGTCGCCAGAGGCATGTAGTCTAGACATACCCATAGAGCCTATATATGGGTTTTCCCTCTGATCCAATTCCCATCATCGAATGTAATGATTCTCCATAGGTAAGTATGTTTCTATCTTTGGAGTGTCTGTGGATTAGATGGTTATCATTAGCTATTGCTGTAATTTTGCCAAAGTCGGCATGTGTTTGGGGATCTCTGAGTAGACACAGACCAAGAGTACATTCCCCACCAGAATGAGTTTGTTATGCCTTTGAGAAATTTCTTGCCAGTCTTTTGCTAACCTGCACATTCTTTTTCACCTTGCACCAAGAAGTTTCCCAAGTCTATGTCTGCATTCCTCTTTTTTCTTGATCATGCCAGTGGTTATCAGCAGCCCACAGAATATTTTGCAGCAGTTCATGGAAGTTTAAATTTGATTTTTAGAGTATAGAAGTTTTAGTATAGCCCTCTGGGTCAGCGTTTCTCAACCTTTTATTTTATTTTATTTATAAAGTATCCCCTTCTCAAAAAAAAAAAAAAAGTATCCCCAGCTCCTACCGTTTTCAGACACACAATTTTTTTTCTACCATTGTAATACATTTGTTTAAACAACTTAATCATAGCTGAGTGGGCGATGACAGTTTTGGGTGTAAAAAGGACAAAAATAATAAAGCGCTGTAAAACTTAAAACCAAAATTCAGTTTTTTCCAAATTTCTGTTGTGTTGAAGTACCCCCCAGTCTTCTCTCGAGTATCCCTAAGGATACTCGTACCATTGGTTGAGAAACACTGCTCAAGGGTGACCCTGAGTCTGTTTGCTATAAGGTTTTGCCATTTCTCTACTTCTTATTTTAACTGATGTTCAGCTCCTGTATATGGATTATTTTTGTAACTCATGTTAAAGAATTAAACACTAAAAAGATTTGGAGAAAATCCAGTGTTAAAAAAACTCCAACTTCAATGAAGTTATCTTGCATATGTTAAAATTGCATAGTGGGTTTGGTTTTCTTATGGGATATGCAGGTTTCCTAATGAATCTCTCTTTTTTTTCTGTAGAATCAAAGTTGTAGACCTTTCTAGAATTCAGAGCAAGTACAGACAGTATTTTTTTCTGGGTTTGCTCATAAGATATTAATGTTTCTTCATTAAAAGTTTCAGCTAGATTCCCTATAACTTTCTCATGCCAAATCTTTCTGCAGATGTCTTTGCCTGCTATTTTTGAAGGTCTCATTTCCTGAAATATACATATTAAGGTGTTCTGTTGGGTATATATAGAGTGTATATTAAGAAGCATGCAAGTTTCTGAATAAATGTTGCATGTTCATAATATTACTGGGCATAAGTGTGCAAGATCCTTATGTTTTATTTAAACTTGGAATTGATTTGGAGAGTCCTCTTTCTCCCAGTACACTATTCATCAACAGGATAACAATGATCAGAGAAATGCTGGTGGTCTTGACCATGGATCTGTTTTTTCAGTTGTTGACCCTTGATTGTGGAGTGTTAATTGGCTTGATCCTTCTTTTTCTGGGCAGCATTTCTGCATACAAAGCCACAAATGTATCCTGTGGCTGGAGAGAAATGTGTGCATTCTCAGTCAGCTATTTCATTATTATGCAATTGTCTTCCAACATTGCTGTGTGGTACAAAATGACACATACTTGGATGGTTTCAAACAGAGATTTGTTAGTACCATTCTGATTATGACACAGTTTAGGACCAGGACAGTGGTAAGCACAAAGGTTGTCAACTGTGGTGAAGCCAGTTTATAAAAATTGATAAAATCAATCCTTTCTGTCTTACATACCGTTTTATGTATCTCTCAACTAAAATTACAACTCTTGAAGGAATAAACCACCAGATAAAAATACCTTTTATTTTTTCATTGATTTTTATTGCTTGCAATTCTATATTTTCCTTCAAATATCCAGTAGGATAATCGAATGGGGGAGGAAGAAAAGGGAAGCAGATTATAAATAGGATTGACCAAATTCTTCTGTCTTATTACAAGGCAATGTGATCTAGTGGTTAGGGCTCTGGATGGGGGTACAGGTTACTTAGATCAGGCCCAGACTGAGGCATGGGGAAGCCGGGCAGCTGCCCGGGGCACCAACCAATGGGGGGCGCCTGATGACAGCTGTAAGGGCACGCGGTGTCCCTTACAGCTGCCATCAGGTGCCGCATGCCTGGTTCCCGCGGCGTCGGCCCCGCAGCACCGGCCAGCAGTGCCCTTCCCCCCACAGCTGCGGGGCCCTGCATGGCCCGGTGTGCGCGCCAGCAGCGGTGGCCGGACCAGGCTGGGCAGCACATGCACCGTGCGACCCGGGGGGCGGGCACCAGGATGCGTGCCAGCGGCCGTGGCCAGCCTGTGCATGCTCCATGCGCCCAGGGTGCCAAAAGGGCTCGGGCCGGCCCTGACTTAGGTCACTTGGTAAACTGGACATAAGCAAACCACGTGTTTTAATATGGCTTAATGTAAATGTATACATCTAGGAACAAGGAATGTAAGCCATGTTTACTTGGATTCTATCCTGGAAAGCAGTGGGCTATCAGCTGGACGTGAGTTCCCAGTGTGAGGCTGTGGCCAAAATGGCCAATGTTATACTTGGGAGCATAAAAAGAGGAATCTCTAGTAGGGGTAGAGAAATTATTTGATTTCTTTATTTGGCACTGACCTGGCCATTGCTGGAATACTGTGTCCTGTTCTGGTGTTCACGATGCAAGAAGGAAGTTGAAAAATGGGAGAGAGATCAGAGAAAGATTAAAGGATTAGTAAACATGCCCTGTGGTGAAAGACTCGACAGATTTATTTAGTTTAACAAAGAAAAGGGCAAGGAATGTCTTGATTACACTCTAGAAGTACATAGGAATAAATATTGATGGATGGGCTCTTCAGTCGAGCAGACACAGGTATAACAAGAGCTCATGGCTGGAGGTGGAAGGTAGACAAATTCAAACTGGAAAGAAGGCGTAAATTTTTACAGTGAGAGAGAGTAACCACTGGAACAATTTACCAAAGGTCATGGTTGGCAATTGTCAAATCAAGACTGGATGATTTTCTAAAGGAACTGCTATAGGAAGTATTTTGGGGGAAAGTTCTTAGGCTTGTGCTATATGAAAGATCAGGCTAGCTGATCCCAGTGGCTCCTTCTGAATTTGGAATCTCTGGATGTGTCTAGACTACAGGGTTTTGTCGACAAAAGTGGACTTTTGTCAACAAAACTATACCTGCGTCCACACTTCCACTGAGTTCTGTCGACATAACGTCGACAGAACTCAGCAGTTTTGTTGACGCTGGTAAACCTCATTTTATAAGGCATAACGCCTTCTGTTGACAGAAGGTGTTATTGCATGTAAACTCTCCTTTGCGTCTACACTACCATGTCGACAAAGCAGCTTGCTTTGTCGACAGAACTCAATGTAGTCTAGACGCTCTTTGTCGACAGAAGTTTTGTCGACAGTATCTGTCGACAAAACTTCTGTCAACAGAAGCCTGTAGTCTAGACGTACCCTATGACTCTATTCCTGGCATTGCTACTAACTTGCTGTCGGAGTGTCACTTCACCTCTGGTTCCCTGCTGGCTCTTACCTGTTTAGATTCTAAGCTCTTTGGGCAGGGTACTGCTTCCAGCTCCATGTACAGTGTTTGGTACAACAGTGCTCCATGCTTGGATGCGGGCCTCTAAGTACGACTGTAAGACACATAATAAACAAACCTACATCCACTGACTCCCCCACTGATTAAAAATCAGTGCTGCAGGATTTATATCAGGTTGGAAGAAAAACTTCCTTTGGAATCATATAATAAAATGGAAAGTGATTATGAGAGTTAAGGACCAGGTAGATTCAGACTTTTATGCCAAGCCTGGAGCAGGTGGGTAGTACAGAGCCACAGTGACCTAGAACAAGCAAGGATAGCCTGTGAGTTAGGCCTCCCCTTCTCCTCCCCCTTCTCAATGTACTGTTCCTTTTGGTGAGAGCAGCAATGAGCTGCCCCTGCATGTCCAGTGCCACAGGGATACCAGATCTGCTATTGTGGAAGGCCCTTGCCTAGTTGTGTAAGGAAGGGGAGAGGTTTCCTGTCTGACCCAGCATGGGCCTCTCATGATCTGGCCTCCAGCATTTGCCAAGATTTTGTGTTTTATTATGCCTTGCACCACATCTGAGCTTTCATTTCAAAACAAACCAACCTGTTGGCATTACAGAGATAGTGTTCACAATGTGCTGCTGTACCTGCTGTATTCCACCCTGGCAGAAAACTGTCTGCAATTAAATGTCTGTGAACAATAATAACTTCAGAATCTAATAGGGAACCCTGTACATGCTAATCTAGTAAATCACTGGTTTAAGAAGCACACACTCATTTGGGGTTGAGACGCCTGTGTTGGGTAAAATTTGTGTCTCAGTTAGAGACAAGGCGGGTGAGGTCATATCTTTTATAGGACCAACTTTTGGTGAGTCAAGCATTTGAGCTATACAGAGTTCTTCTTCAGGTCTGGGAAAGATCTCTGTTATATCCATTCTGTCCTGAATCTGGATGAGCATAGTTGCAAGCAGAACTTTAGCCTAATGTCCACTTTTGCACTGAAAGAGTCCTGATGAAACCCTGAAATAAACATTTAGGGTTGGAAAGTGACTCTCTCTGCTGCTGTGGCTTTTTTTAGAAAGCTTTCAGGTTGGGATCAGAGGAAAACAGAAATCTTTGAAAATGACTGACTCTTTGAAGCACTTTCCACTGTATTATGTGATTCGAGCCAAAAGAGGGTTTGTTTCCTTACCTGATCAGTAATTCACACTAGTATTTCATTTGGACTTGCTACTGAGTGCAAATGGCTACTTCTGGGAACAGGCTGTAAAGTCATGTGCCAGTGGCCTCATCCTTGCTGCCTACAGAGTTTGGGAATTTCCAAAGATACCTTTTTTTCTTCTACATTATCCAGGGCTGGTTAAAGGTCTGGGCTCTTGTTAGGAGACAGGCAGTGAAATGACAGGGGAGGTGAAGGGGAAGGGAGTGAAAGAATCAGAATTGGGAGTCTCGCTTGGGGAAGGATACATACAGAGACATGAGAAGAAGAAGAAAGTGCAGAGACAGGAAATTTGGAGAAAGGAAAAGAAAAAGATGGAAATAAGAAACAGGAATGTTTAGATTTCAAACTCATTAGGGCAGGTGTGTGGTCTGCCTCTGGGATTGTACAGTGCCCGGCATGCTAGGGCTCAAATTCTGATCAGGGCCTCTGGAGACTGCATAAAACAGTGGCGAGAGGGAAGTCAGGGATACTCAGCTTGAGAAGGAACTGCTAGTCCCAGATGTACAGACAGTAGTTGGGCTGTGACAGTTGAGCACTTGGGCTTTCTGAAGAGGAGGGGTGACCGGATTGGCTAGAGAGGGGACAGTGTGTCTGCTGTACATGTTCCTTTTCACAATTTGATCCATGGGGCATCCAGGTCCATTGTTTCAGATGAACGTGGTTGTTTGTGTTCTCAGGTGGAGACAAGGCAGCAGAGCATGAGCTGTTGCATGGAGAAATGGCTCAACTAGTAACGTGTGATACAAGATTGGACAATAAAACGGCAGTTGTCCAGCAGGTTTAGCCTCTAGTGGGCCACCACCACTATATTTACCTGCATAGCTGCACTGTACGGGTGCTTGGTCCTGCTGTGAGGGCAGGAGACTTGGCTTGATGATCACTTGAGGTCCCTTCCAGTTCTAGTGTTCTATGAGTCTATGACTGCAGTTCCTGTTGGCTGCATATTGCCGTTCCTGGCCAATGGGAGCTGCAGAAAGTGGCATGGAATGGGACACCCCTTCCCATAATTCCCATTGGCCAGGAAGACTGACAGCCAACAGGAGCTGCAATTGCCCACACCTGTGGAGGTGCAGGTAAATATAGTGGCAAAGGCCTGTCAGGGGCTTATTCTGGGGAACCGAATCTGGGTCACGGGCTGGTATTTGTCCACCCCTGGATTAAATTTGTCCACCTAATTTAATCCCTTCTCAAAGGGTGCTCCTTCAATTGCCAACACTGCACAGCAACAGGCACATTTTCTGGTAGGTTCATGGCAGGTTTCACCCCACCATAAAAGGGTGTTGGCAATTGAAGGAGCACCCTTTGAGAAGGGATTAAATTAGGTGTCATGATGGCATTAGTCAGCTCCATCCTGCTCAGTCCCAAGCAAAGTCCTAGATCAGCTCCTGCTGCATGTTCAACTTTACAAAAGCATCAAGCTGGCTGAACCAATTGATAAATATATAAAGCTTCTACACAGGGAGAAATAGTAACAACAAACCTTCGTCAATGGATTCCAACTTACAATTGTCCAATTAGGAAAATAAAGCCTTTTTTATAAATCGAGTGCTACTAGGCCTGGGCAAGCCAAACAGTGTGAAGAAACAGCCAAGCCTTAGCAAAGCAAGCCAAACATATAAGTCAGGCCAATGAAGCTGACTGAATACATGGAACACGAAAAAGAAAATACATCACTAACAGATGAGGTCACTGTGACCTCCAGGAAGTAACACCAGAATATTCTCCCTGGCTTGGCTTTCCTTGGCTCAGACTGACACATCGATGCAGAGAAGAGCGTAAGCCAGGCAATCAGAGAGAGCCCAGCTTGAGCTTTCATTGGCTTGTGAACCTCCCCTTGATAGACCGGGTAAGTGTTTTTTATTTCATAGAATACTCTTTCAAACAACTCATGAACAGATACACATTTCAGAGTGCACAGTCCTAATCTGATTCGCCTGGACCTCTCAACCCGGGAATTTTATTAAGAAATTTGTTAATGCTCTGACCCAGTTCTGATTTTTCTTTGAGGTCTGATTCCTGAAAACAGTAACATCAACTAGGTTCCTATTTGTTTTATTTTTCTGAATCTCTGCATAGAGAGCATGGAGTATAGAGAGCATTAGATTTGAAAAAAGCGCTGAATGTGTGATTAATGCCTATCAATCAATCTATCAGTGCAGACTCTTCCTTTAGTGGTGAGCCAGAGAAGGCTGAAGTCCTGGCAGGGCTAAGGATTTGAGGGTCTTGCTGAACACTTTATCTGGGGGTAGGTCAGTGTGCAATTGTGTATCGTGTTGATGTATTTTTGCACATTTGCTTAGTGATGTCATTAACATTTTATATATTAAAGTCACCAAGGCCTGATTAAAATACAACCTAGAATACTCAAGGGACTGAGAACTGAGGAGGTATCTGAGCCTTTAGTGATTATTTTCAAAAAGTCCTGGAAGATGGAAGACATTCCAGAAGACTAGAAATGGGCAAATGGAAGAGCCCATTTATAAAAAGTAAAATAAGAGCAACCCAGGGAATTACAGAACAGCCATGGGAATTACAGAACAGGGAACCCAGGGAATTACAGAACAGTCCCCAGAAATATAATGGAGCAAATAATTAAGCAATCAATTTGCAAACACCTAAAAGATAATAAGGTGATAAGGTCAGCATGAATTTTTCAAAACCAAAATTGTTTCAAGCCAACCCCATTGCTTTCTTTGACAGAGTCACCAGTCTTGTGGATAAGGGGAAGAAGTAAATGCAGCCTAGGGGGGCAGCCTGGAAGAATTTGTATAGTGGGAGTGCTAAGAGTCACTGAACCAAACTGTAAACCCTGCTTGTAATGGAAATCATTTCAAGCCAGGGAGGCACAGCAACACCTCCTGTGCACCTAGTTTCAGCATCTGTGCTTTAGTGAGGTTTTAATGATATCTCCTATGACCTTCTCATAAACAAACTAGGGAAATACAACCTAGATGGAGCTATTAGAAGGTGGGTGCATAACTGGTTGGAAAATCATTCCCAGAGTAGTTCTACATACAGAGCATATAGCAATAAAGTAAATGTGTATCACAGCAGGTTTACTAAATTCATATTCGACATTGACTTAACTACACAAAAAGACATTGGACCTGATTCTCATTCATACTAAAGTTCCTTTATATCACCCTGGCACTATCAAGGGGCCCTAATTTGCCAAGTCTCCTGACTGGCTGTCAGGTTGTTTCTCTTTAGATCTGCTGCTCTAAATAATTCTAGCCTGCTGCAGGAGCTTCCTTAAGAGATTAAGGACAATATCTGCAAGGACAATGCGTAGCCCAGATTTCACAAAGATAATATTTTACCTCCATATCAGAGCATGAGCCTTAATTTGTAATATGCTCTTGGCTCAAAATGTCAGCAGAGAAAAGTAGGGATGTAGACTGTGGCCAAAAAAACTTTGCTCCTCGGAAACAATGGAACACTCTGCAAAAGAGGGTGAAGCTCATCTGGGCAGGAAACAGAACTTTCTCATAGGCCAGTTCAAGACTGTGGAATGAACTTGTCCCCGCCCCCACCCTGGACTAAGGACCATCTCAGACCTCACCACCTTTCATTCCAAGTGCAAGGCAAGGTTGCAGAAATGTCCCTTGTCTATGCCTACATTTATAAAACAAGACATTTCACTGCACATATTTCTCCTCTGACTGGACAAACACCATGTGACAATGTTAGTTGTGTTGCTTGATGCACTTCTGGAAGAATACCACTAAGTGTGACTGTTAATAGATAGGAGGAATGTTGGCCAGCACCCAGTAACTAAGGGATTAAACTCAGGTAGGGTATGTCTACACTACCACCCTAGTTCGAACTAGGGTGGTAAAGAAGGCAACCGGAGATTACCACCCTAATCCGAACTACCTAGTCCGTGCCGCGTGTAGCCGCGGGACACGGAGTCCGCACTAGCGGACATTTAAAAATGGCAGCACCTGGCAATATGCAAATGAAGCCCAGGAAATTCAAATCCCGGGCTTCATTTGCAACTCAGGTTGCCTACATTACCACCCTAGTTCGAACTAGGGTGGTAGTGTAGACATACCTGTAGCTAGCAAGGGTGTTGGCAGGGGGCCAGGAGAACCAATTGGAAGACAGTGCTGAAATTTGAATTGGATATAGATACTTTGCATGCTTGCTTTGTGTGGAAGAGTTAAACCAGGAGTTGAAAGACACGGAATGATTCAAACCCAAGCAGGACTACCATGCTTACAAGGAATTCGGGGCATGGAAGTAGACTGAATAAAGAGAATATTATGAGTAAATAAAGAGAGAAAAGTGAATCTAGTTGTGATCAGGGTATATTTCTTTATTTTGTGGTTTGGTTTGAACTGCTCTGTGTGAATCTATGCCTTCCCTCCCCATTTACCATATAAGAATTGTTCCCAGACATTTTCTCTGTGTTTTAATTTGTTTTCCTTAGTTGCTCTGTAACGTCTAACAATCAAGTATGCTTTATCAAGTATATCTTTTGGTTTGCAATAAAAGTCACTTTTTTAAGGTGGTGGTTTGATTCTTGTGTCCTGGAAAGTACAGGAGATCTGCCTGTCTGTGTATGTCTGCATTTCTTTTTTCAAGCTCTTTTGAGGCAAAAGAACTTGGGGGTAACTTTGCTGGAGAATTCAAGTGTTTGTCCCTGGTTTTAGGGATAAAATCATTTGATGGCGGCAGCTACCACCTAAAGTCAGTGAATCTGAGACTCTGGGGAAGTTTTTGTAATCAGAGCCTGTAGAGGCAAGGTATATATAAAGTCTGATTACCTGGTGCTACATACTGATATCATTAACCTGGGGCATCTCCTCCTGAGCAACTCCATCGCCTTCAGTGACGTTAGTCCAATTTGCAACACTGCTGTAAACTGGGACCCGAATCTGGCAACTTGAGTAAAGTTTTCTTGTCCTTGGTTACATGTAATTAGTGGGTTTGACTCACTTCTCATTTATGCCTGTTGCATAACAGCAGTAACTCACTAATTTCCAGGGAGTTACACCTGTGTAGAACCGTTGGGAGAGTTGCGCCTGTGCATAAATGAGACCTAGCTAATAAGGGCCTCAATCTAACCAGATGAAAAGTGGGGGTCAGCTGCATCCATAGAAGAGCTTCCAACTTTTCCTGCCTTTTCTCCTAGATGTTGCAGAGAGCAGTCTATGGGTCTGGTGGATCACACATGGAGGGGGCAAGAGAAGTGAGGAGAGAAACCTGTATCCAGTACAGATAAAGGTAGTTTAATACAGCCAGAAACTGTATTTGGTCCTCCTACAACAAGGCCCCTCCATGGTAAAGGCCTCCCACCTCGTGGGCCCCAGAGACGAGACAGGTTGGGAAATCCCAGGTAATAGAGTTTCAATGGAGCTACACTAGGGGGAAGCCACAATTTGTGGACCAGACCTTTGCTTTCCTTTGCAGGGACAGATTCCCCTCGCAGCAGAAAAATGAAGAGGAAACTCCTTGTGGGATTGTTTCCTGTCCTGAATGTATGTTCAGTCTGACTCTGTGTTATTACTGTTGCTTTATATTGCTCACCTTTAGTTAGTCCATCTCTTTCTCTCTCTGTCTCCCGTGCAATATCTCTTCATCTGAAAGTGTGAATTATGATCCACCACATAAATATGGATAAAAGAAAAGCACATCTGAAATCCCAAAACGTTCAAGGGGAGATCTTATCTTTTGTTACATGGAAAGAAGGGTTCAGTCTGGTTCCAATAAAGGATAACTTAAAAGGCAGAAAAATAAGCAACAGAGCATCAGCTCTCACTTTAGTGTGTAAATTCTGAAAAGGCCACCTGTCAGATCCCTGCTGGAAACCAGCATTTTGTTTGGCAGCTGGCTGATTGCCATGATGAAATATTGAAGTGTTTGGAAACTTGTGGGACTTTCTTCAAAAGGCATCTTTTCCCCTCCCTCCTCTCTAAATAATTAAATTTTAAATGTGCTGGCTTGCAGTTATGAAAAGATAAGGCACAACTGCAGGATTCTTTCAGACATACTAGCTAGCAGTGGAGGGTTTTTTGGTTTTTTTTTTTTAAAGATTTTTGGCTTTCCTCACATGAAATACAAAAGAGATCATACCAGTCACCTGGTGTCTGTTCACTCCAAGGAGGTAGTATAATAAAATGCCTGATCCTGACCTCAGTTACATGAGTAACTCTGAAATAATGCCAATGAATCCAACACGACTTCAATGAGTCAGTGTTGTTACACCAGTGTCAAAGTGGTGTATGAGTCAGACTCTGATCTTTCTAACACCAGTTTCATACCCTGCCAGCACTCAAATGGCTCAGTGAAGTGACTCCAGATTTCAGCGACTCAGCAGAGCTCCTCCAGATTTACATGTTACTGAAGGCAGAATTTAGAGCTACAGCTTGTTAATTGGGAGATACATTGTCACACTAAAAGATAAGAATTTCAGTCAAGCTTGTTTGGCAAATGTGTTTTTCTCATTTTGACCATTTTCTCTAGCATTACATTTTGTTTCAATGTGTGGCTGGAAGCAAGTTACCTTGTGATTTTAGTTCTTTCATGAATGCAGATCTTCAGCTTACCACCATCTGTTGTATGAAGATAAAAGAGAGGGCATTAATATTAGGGGCTTTCTTTACGATGGTGATTATCTACGTAGCATGTGCCCAGGGAGCTTAATCCAGCCCCATCATACATGTACAGGGCTCCCAGGAAAGCGAATAGGTGCTATAAAAACACATCAGAGTCAGAGCTGGTCCCAGAATGTGTATGTTTTCCCAGGTCTGTTACAAAATTTTGTACAATATTGTGCAAAATCTCTCTCTTTTACTGGTTGTGTGTGAATTTAATGTCCACGAAGAATGCTAGAGTTGACTGGCCAAGGGGCTGATGCCCAGATCAATGGGAGTTAGGCACCTAAATCCTTTGAGGATCCAGACCTGAAATTCTCTTGATCCACAAAGCATGGAATGAGCAGCAATAGTTCAGGCTACCCCTGTTATATCACCCCCCCCCCACCTTCCATCCCAAAGTGCTTTCCCTGGAGGGAATCTCTGTAGTCAACCCCACCTTCCCCCACCTAGCATACCGGCCGCCCATGGTGGCAGGGGAAGGATCTGGGCCAAATACAGGAGCAAGGGAGGGGGACCAGACTGTGATTCTCTTAGTGTACTTTGGGGCTGCACACAAGCTGGGCCTTACTCAAGACTGGTGTCAAAGCCACAGTTGATCTTATGGTAATTTTGCTATTAACTCCAAGGAGCGGATCTGTGCTGTGAATACTGACAACGGTGCCATTCGTACTTGTGATGTAGACAGAGGCTCACTGGCAATTGGCCTGAGATCACCAAACTCACTGTACAGAGAACTGAATAGCCATCACATGGTAACAACTTTTGGTCTCTCTCTACTACTCTGGGTAGGAATTTTAACCTGCAGCTCTGAGCTATCATTTACACAAGGATTTATGGGTTAGATTCTTTTAGGACTAACCCCTGAAGTGCTTTCTCTGTTCTTACTGTGTCTGTTGGTGTCAACGGGCGCGTTGCAGGAGTAAGAAATGAGAAGAGCCTTCAGGACTTGAGTGTAGGTTCTCCTCATTGTTTCAACGCTGGTGACATCGCTAGCATTCCAAATAAAACAGAAGGAAAAAGGAACAAATGCTACGTGGCAATAACTTTGGCTTAATAGCTTTTATGTGTTAACAAGGTAGGAGGAAAATGCTATCATTAGCTTCTGTCATGGCCTGCTGGGTTACTGAATCTTTGAGGGTATGTCTACACTACCCTCCTAATTCGAACCAGGAGGGTAATGTAGGCATACCGCACTTGCAAATGAAGCCCGGGATTTGAATTTCCCAGGCTTCATTTGCATGAAGCCGGCCGGCGCCATTTTTAAATGCCCGCAGTTCGAACCCCGTGCCGCGCGGCCTACACTACCCTCCTAATTCGAACTAGGAATGAGGAATGAGGAGCTGTACTCCTCATTCCACAAACTAGCTAATCCGAACTAGCTACTCCGTGCCGCGTGTAGCCGCGCGGCACGGGGTTCGAACTGCCGGCATTTAAAAATGGCGCCGGCCGGCTTCATGCAAATGAAGCCCGGGAAATTCAAATCCCGGGCTTCATTTGCAAGTGCGGTATGCCTACATTACCCTCCTAGTTCGAATAAGGAGGGTAGTATAGACATACCCTGAGAGACTGAAGACATTCAGGAAACTTCCCTTTTAATAGAATCTCTTTCTGGATTCTGGAGTCCTTACTCCAGGAAAACTCCCACAGAAGTCAATGAGAGATTTCCTCAAGGTAAAGTCCACAGGGCTTCACTCAATATTACTTAATTAAACAACAGGAATAGTCATTTTTTTTTTCAAACTAAAATGATGTAGCCTCTTTTTTCCCCTGACAAGTCATTCAGGTAAGTTTTCAGCATACTATCATTTCGTGGCTACAACGACCTTATACATATTTTCCAAGGCCCTCCTTTTGACTTTATACTCCCTCTTCTTAGTACAAAGGCCATTGCAAAATGAATGCAGAATTTGTGTGTTAGCTAATGAAGGGAGCAGTTTCTAAAAATAAAATGGAGAGGCACAAAATAACACTCAGTGGATAATTGAGGGCTGGTTGATAGTGATCTATCTGTACATGCTTGTGATTAGCCTGAGTACTTGCATGTATTTTATGACCTATATGGGATCACACTTTGCTGAGCTGGGCTAATTATGTGCCCCAAAACCTCAAGTCACTGTTTTTAATTGAAGTATATACTATCAAATTAAAAGACATTCCCATCACAGGGTGCAGGAATGTACACAAGCAAAGGCCAGTGCAGCAGGAGTCGATATTCATAATTAGTGTTGCTAGGTTCTTGGGTGCTGTGTTAGTATGTGCATGTTTGGGTCCCAGTGTGGATAACTAAAATGAACACATTCAGATGACTTAACTCTCACAGTGGGGTTATGTGTTACTTTGATACTTTGAGTTTCACACTCTAACTTTTCAGCATATATACTGGTTACCAACAAGATTAAAGACTTTGGAGGTCCAGTTCCTCTGATTATAATGGGAACATGGCCTCCAAGTCCTTAGTCAACTTTCAAATTCCCACCTTAAAACGCTGTGGAGTAAAATACAATGACATTAGCTGGGGGTGTTAACATACTATCAGTCCCATACTCATTAATGCACCAGAGACTGAAAACTTGCTGGGGCAGAAATTATTTTAGATATTTGTACCACCTACTCCCTGTACTGTAGTATCTGAGCACCTCACAGTCTTTAATGTAATTTTCCTTGCATCACTAGTGAAGAAGAGAAGAAATATTACTCCCATTTGACCGAGGGGGAACCGAGGCACAAGAGGTATTTAAAAATACATAGGTGCCAAGTAGGATCTTCAAAAGCATCTTAGCTCCTGATTGCCATTCAACAGGTGTCAGGCACCTAAGTTCTTTTGAAGATCCTGGTAGGTGTCTAAATCCCTTTTGAAATCTGGTCTAGGGAAGTCTGTTGTGGAGACAGGAATTAAATGCCACCGATGCTTCACATGCCCCTATCTATGTAGGGTGACGAGACATCATGAGATTAATGGAGTTGTCTTATATAGGCAACTGTTACCCCTCCCATTGAAGGGCATGAATCAGCATTCATGTTGCACTCCCCATCAGTACCTGGCCTGGATCAGGGAAGCTAATTACGCACCAATGGACTAAATTCCATGACCTATCCTGGTCTCATATAAGTAGTTAATGCCTACTCATGTCACTTAAGGCACATTTCACGTATGCTAAGAAGATTCCTATCCCCCACCCCTTATGCTTGCTTTCTGGTCACCCTGTTTCTATGGCCTGTGCTTACAAGGCCCAGCTGAACCCTAAAAGGATTTCAGTAGCTCTGTAATGGATAATAACAATAATTGTTGTGGAACGATTTGTGGCTGCTTCCCCTATACATGATTTATACTAAACGACAAGCTCAGGTTGCTGAGTTAGTTCTTGATTACTGCTGGGTTCAGGCAGTGTTGCCTTTACACATTCTTATTTTATAGCAGAGCAGTTTTAGCCATTCCTTCTTTATTCTCCTTTTCATTGTATTAATGTAATTACTTTGAAATATATCTCATTGTTGCATAAGCTGCTTTTTTCCTCTTCTCTTTTGCCCTTTTGCTCTGTGATCTTGCAACCCACACAAGACAATTGACAGCCTCAACCTCTCTGCATGTCCTTGGCACGTTCTCCTTCTTTGGCATTTTGTTCTAAAGTGATCTTTCAATTTTTTTTTCTCCAAAGCACTCAGCTGTTTACTGTTTTCAGAATTATTTTGGGTTTGTGCTTACAGAACTTCTCTCCCCCCACTTTTATTTGGGTCAAGACCTGAAGTCCTTGCTCAAGCAAAACAAGGATTAAGCCAAGCAGAGTCACTAGGCGTCTGGTCTTGCTGGACACCCTCCATCCCAATGAAGTCAATGAGAATGAAGGCTCTTAGCAGATCATAGGTCTGTGCCCAAATGTGGTGGGTGCCATTAGAGGCATCTGTTAAAACATGACCAAGAACAAAAGCCAATACATAAGCAAAGGCACCTATGAGTTTGTACACTAAAATACTCTGCCCTGGGATTGGGCCAAATGGGGATTTGTCTGGGTAAGAACTGATTTAAAATGGAGCCAGGTCTTCAGGGTTTGGCTCATATTTTGTCAGATAATGTTAGAAACCATTGACAGAGGAGTGGGTGAAAGGGGCTGCAGTGTGTAGTGTAAGTGTTGTTCTGGAAACATGCCAAAGAAGATGATTTTAGGAACCAGAGAACCATTGTGCAAAGTGATCAAAGCTGTAAAAGATGAGATTTATAAGGCAGAAGGTTAGACTACAGAAACACACACAGTACCCAGCCTATCTGTTCCTAACCTCCCACTTTCTGTACTTTGCCTTATATAGTGCTGCCCCTAGCATCTTCTCTATCTCTGGCACGACTCCAGCAAGAAGACTCCTCTTCATTTCCTCCTAATCTGGAGTTCCCACCCTTCTTCCTTCCAATCCAGCTGTCACTAAAAGTACAAATAATGTAAAAATCTATCTGGAGTTTTTACTGGAAGTCAATAAACTCTTACAAAATCAGGGCCTGAACCTGCTGCCTTTGTTCTAGTAAGAAGTCCCTTTGACTTGAATGAACCTTTCAGAATTAACGAGGTCAAATGTAACCAAATTATCGGCGTTAAATCTAATGAAATGCGCTATTTTAAGAGAACTGTTTTGGTTACCTAATTCTGCATTGCTCAATAGATAGAGCCAACAGCACTTTCTTCTCAAATCACAACAATGAATTTTCTTCTGGAAAGCTAACCTCAAGCTGCCTGCTAATGTCAGTCCATTTCCCCCTTCATTTCTTTCCACATTACAGTATTTGCATCTCTTCATTCTTTTATTGATGACTCAGTTTCCTTCTACTGATAATTTTCTTTTTTTCAGTCCTTTTCTTCTCTGCAAGATGTATTGGCACTATATAATAAAAGAGCTAATTACTGTAGTTGAGTTTTGTTTTGTGAATTTAATATTCATAAAAAAGTGCTGGATTGATACCAGGCAACCAAAGTTTTTGTTGCCCACAGAAGTGCAGCATAATCAGCAATTTCCCCACACTACTCAATCACTGTGGCTCAGCTGGACTTAGACAGGACACTTCTAATAGGGTATGTCTACATTACAGCGCTAATTCGAACGAACTTATTTTGAATTAGTTAATTCAAAATAAGCTAATTCGAAATAACGCATCTAGACCTAAAAACTATTTTGAATTAGCATTTTGCTAATTCGAAATAGCGCATCCACACTGATTGGATGCTGGGCTGTACTACACACCGCCCGCGGCAGCCAGGATCGCAGCGGGGGTTGCTTCTGGGAGTGGAGCGCGGGGCAGTGCCAGGGAATGAACACTCCCTATGTGTAGAGATACATAGTGAGAATGTAATTTAAGGGCAGCTGAAACCGGTTCCGGCAGGGCATCAGGTCAGCAGTTGCTTTGTGTGGCTGTTGTCTGAGGCTATTTGAGGCTCGTGCTTAAAGGGACCCCCCGCCCAGACAGCCAGTTCTCAGCTTTTCCGCTTGCTTGCCTACCTCGCCGAGGGACAGCAAAGCGTTTTCCTCTCTGCCTGCCTGTGTCGGTGGTTCCCATTGGGGCCGCCACCGCAGTTGGCACCATGGAGCCAGAGCTCGCCTTGAGCATGCTGCTCCAGTTTTTGGACTTGCTGCTGCAAGCCTGCCAGCCATGGC